AGTCATTTGATACACGGTTATTTAATCGCAGCTTCTAATTTTGTAACAAAAATATATGTGACATGCTTTACACAAGAGAGAGAGAACTAAAAACATGAAATAACACAATTGCGTTTCAACGATCTTTTCAATTAAGTAATGGACATTATTTTTTCATTTTTCAAGTTTGAACATACGATTGCATAAGTTGCAGTATATGACTTGTTACATTTAAGATGATGTATACCATATATTTGTGTTTCCATGTCAGTTTGTCGTATCATTTAGACTTCAAACAAGATCTTCATCTGAAGTTTTTTTCATCTTATGTATACAACACATGTTCACGACGTTAACCACTGAGTTCAGTCACCAGTGAGCATCTTCACCTACCTCGGTAACATAATCACAATCTGGACAATCACGTAAATTCTTATCAGGTAACCACACTTTGACCTTAGCAAGTATCATGCTTGTTCTATCGTGCTCTATAGTAAGTGGTAAACAAGGAGGAGTGCTCTTAGCACGGACGGAATCTGATTTTGGTTTAATGTTTGAGGTGGGAAGACCTCCAGATTTGGGTATCAGAAATGTGCATGCGCTCGCCTGCTTGACAGCTGAGGTAAGAGAACAATCATTCCAGCACTTGAGAACCTCGAATATTCTTATATTCTGTACAAAGTTATTTGACATTATGTCGAGTACACTCCTAGAAAGTTGATTAGTTTGTTTTGAAACTATGAGATATGGAGAGTAATGTAGACTCCTGTACTGATCTTCGAAGCAAGGAAAAGCACAACATGCTCTCTCATCCGAGCTGATTACTCATGTGCCACTCAGTTGTCAAAATAGATCCACTTGCTTGAATATATCCAAGCTGACGTTTGAAATCTCAGTAGTCACGCTGCCTACATAGAATGTATCAGCAAAGTGATCCCTTCACTAACGTATTCTGTTCGCTGGCACAAGATATTCAAGATTTTTTCTTACTTTCTAAAAACATTGTCCAATCATACGCATGAGTGGAAGAACACGCTTGATATATTGGCATGTTGTCTTTAACTCCATCGCCAACATGATTGTGCACACTTTAGAGCAAGACTCGCAACACTATTGCTGTAAACTTGTTAACCATGTCAGCTTCATCGCTTACAATCAGAGTACCATTATCAATGTGTTGAATATTTTCCATCTAGTCAAGTTACTCATGGTTCGAAACTGGTACAGTAAAGTCCAGGTTAAGTAGGCATACCGGGTAAGAATGCATATTATTTTTCATAAATGAGCCTCAATATTTTTTCAATTTGAAATATAATATATTGGCAATAAACATTAAGAGGTAGTCTGAAGTTTTTTGCATCACCTTTTGCAACCCTCATCGCCTTGTGATTGATTTAATTGAAGTCGATAAACTAAATACAATACTTTTTGTCCTGGCCTATGGCAGAATAGAAAAATTGGCCATAAGCATGCCAACAATCTAAAAATATCGCATTTTAACTCAATAAAACAATAAACAGTATTGAAAAAAATTCTATTTAGTTTCATGAGACATTAAATATTGTTTCTTTTTGGATTTGCTCCCTCTTGTCTCAAACATTTTTGAAAGCTGCTTCGTTAACATCCTCCTCGCAAGTCAGAGCCTTTTGCTAGAAATATCGATGCTTCCGGTAAAAGGGAGGATATGTGTTGCTCAACTTATATCACATCATCGCTCATTTAGAAGTTTACTTTTTGTTTTCCTTGAGTTTACCATCTAATCAAAATATCAAGAAGTGATTCGACTCATTATATGTTGTTTCATAATAAACTTGAAGATTTGCTTAGGTAGTTTCTGTATAATTTTTATCATTTTTTTAAACCTTGAAAGATCTCTGAAAAATATTTATGAATCTCTCATAAATTCACAAATTATTGTTGATAAATTTTTCCTATGACTCAACTGAAGAGAGGAGAAATGAATATCGATAGTTATTCGTTCATCGTAACGAATATGGGATTATCTATATATATATATATATATATATATATTATTTTTTCCAGTATAAAATGTAAATAGAGCTAATTTAGATCCAGGTTCTCCTAGCCATTGTCCGACAATTTCGACAAATTCTCCTATTTCGATTAAGAAATGATTTGCGTAAGTAAGCAGCTACCGGATAAAGTACTCCTTATCCTTCCAGGAGAGAAGTGCGTATTTAGCCAGGAGACTACCGTACATACTTTGGATTCAACGTTCTTAGTTGGAAAAAGTGTTCATCTTCATGTTCTCTATCATTTCAGGCATTATGTTAGTACATGGGATGGCTTCAGGAGGTGCTTTGTGACCTTCATCTGAAGCCTATAATTCTTCGACTGTCGACATCTGAAGAGCCATCGGTAGCTCCTGTTCTCCTCTTTGGAGGGATTTTCTAAAATCTTCGACACCTGGACTCCCTCGTTATCGAAAGTCATGCTTTCGGCCACAAGTGGTGGTGACATTCTCACCATCCACCTAGAACTGATCCTCAACAGGCTCTTTGATAGATGCTTCATATGGTGTCTTAGGTGAGTGTTGTCATTGTCTGTTTATGTGGCACCTGTTCCATCACCTAATAGTACTGATCAAACATGGAATTCTTGGTAATGGAATGATATGTTCTATTACCTAGAATTACATTTCTGATCAGAGCGTACATGTTGACAAGTATAATGATAGGCTCATCGACCTTGTGCTTACTAGCCATAGTCGATTGCTAGAAAAACTAGTCGATTCAAGATGAACCCCACTTTGGGTCTTGAATTATCTCGAAGTTATTCCACCTTTGTTCCATCTTTTTCAAATTAACACACTGTCTACACTCCCTTGGCCGATAACAAAGTATGTGTATAAATGACTATTAAGCTTCAAGGAAGGACTTCCCACTTGAGTATTTGGAGGAAATCACCCATTACCACTTATTGTTCACCACTTACTGCAGGAGTTCATCCACACTGGTCTTATTGTGGACAAGGTCACAAGCTGGGAAAGTGGAAATGGTAAACATCCCGGTCTTTCCACAGGGTTGGGTCGATTTTGCTTTCCTGGGAATCTTCCCTGTAGATGATCCTGAAAGACCATGCAGGTAAAAGGTAGTATCCTGAAGGTGAAGCTTATGCCATGAACTTCTTGCTGGAAATTGCTCCGAAGCCTAACTGAACCAGTGAAGAAATGAGCAACATAATATCTTGACTCCCGGTTCTCCTTCAAAAAATGTAGCAAGTTTGTTATAATCGATGGCATGCCCCGATAAAATATGGTTGTATGCCAAGCTAACTAACCAATTTCTATTTTTCTTTTCGTTTTTCAGGCAAGCAAGGGTGAATCTAAACTACCCAAATCAGACAAAAGCATCGGAAATGATTAAGTCAAAGAGCATACAAATCCACCGTTTCAGTGACTGGGTCTTGTGAACTATTTGGCCACACCATGGATAGTCCAAGGGACGAACTGACACCGGTCATGGTCCGAAAGCGTATGGAAAAATAGGGTTCATGGACAATTCGGGTTTATGAAGTTCCGATTAGAGAACGCAGAGCTCCTCAGACTTGTGCAGCACTGGAGTTGCACATGAGTCACCACAACTCTGAATACTAGTGCATGACGTGATATCGACTGTGACTCGTTCCTGGATTCTTTCATCGCGGGCATCTCCGACCTCCACGTGATTCAAGGCGGTACAGTTATTTGTACACTGAATAGTCACTGGAATCTCAAGGATGCTGTACCGAAACTTCTTCTCTCGCTGTTACAACGAGACAAGTTTCGAGATTGGATTTAATCCAACTCAGCAGCGTCAAAACGCTGTAATTTCACCCACATAGTGAATAATTTTCCAAAGACCCCGTAACCTGCATTCCAGAGTAGCCAGCATCAAGACATCAGTCGGATCTGCTTTCGAGTTGCTGGTGAAACAGAGTTTTGCGATTGTACGTATTTCAGAGCATTCTGAACAGCTATCTTTAATCAACCCTCAATATAGTAATTGGTGCTAATATCTGCAATTCTGAGTAATTTTTATTGTTCTCCTACCAGCAAGTTGATAATTCACCCCGAAAATGTAGCCGGACAGGATACTTTATGATTCCCGATAGACCTGAAAAGCAATCTAGTAGACAGCTCATGCTCTTGGAGTAAAGTGTAGGATTTGCAGAAGATGACAACAAACGGAGTAGTTTAATTTCGAAATCTTCGTTCGCACGCATGCGCGTCGGTTGGACTAAAAAAGCCCCAAACGTCATATACAGATTTCTGAGTTCAACGTTACTTTCTCGTGGGCATCAGATTCCGAATCCAAAGGATGAAGACTAAGGAGGATTACATATTCAAGTGACCTGAGGGTCGGATAGCATTGCTTGTTCAAAAAGAAGAGAGGTGGCGTGATTCTAATTGACTCTGCACTTGAGTTATTGTCCTCTGTGTGTTGTACTTGTTATCTAATGTCCCACACGGAGTATCAATATTGGCCAGCCTAGCATCTTCACTTTCTTGGGTAGAGTGAACAATTACATGAGCAGTTGAGAACCTCGAGTAGTGGCATTCGCTGTACACAGTTATTCGACACATTTTTTGCAAACTCCCAAAAAGTTGATTTGTTTTATCTGAACCTACGAGTTGTATAGAGTAATGTAGAATACTGTGCCGATCCTCAAAGCAAGGAAAAAGTATAACACGAGATTTGTCCTCCGAGTCGACTACCCATGTGCCACTCAGTTGTCAAAATACATCCACTTGCTTGCTTGACGACAGAGAGTGTATCAGCACTTTAAATCATTGACTCAAATTCCCTGTTAGCTTGCGCAACAAAGTCAAGATTTATCCTGACCGTCTAAGGACATTTTCCAATCACATCGAGGGTGGAGGAGCAGGCTTGTTGTGTTGGCATGTTGTCGTTACCTCGATCTCTCACGCGATTCGATGACAAGATCTGATTGAAGACGCTGCACGTGTTTTTCACGACCTACCCATCTTCCTGTGGGTCTCGATGCAACTAGATTTGCATTCTCTTACTCCAATTGTACCTTCAGCTTTACACAATGCAAAGTTCTTCAAGTCTGAGATACTGAGCTTCCATTCATTCCAACACATTCTGCGTCCTCATCTCACCATCTTTGCTACGAACCAGTCTTCTGTATATTTCAAATTCTCCTCCAGAGCTATCAACTTTTCCACTGAGTTCGAGTTCAGTTACAAGTGCACATCATACACATTTCTCTGTTCCAGTTCACAACAGGTTTACGTCCGGATAGATTCACGCACACGCTCTAGGAACCAGAATCCTGGATGTCTGCGATCATTTTGATTCACATCGGCTGTCCTGCCCTGCAGTGAATTTGAGCAACCTCCAACTTCCACTTTGTTCAATCTTACTCCTTTCGTGATCATTGCTCTTGATCCGATGCTCGGAGTAATCTCTGTGTCACTCCTGTAGCACCGCGCAAGAACTCTCGTGACCATCGCGCACTACACACAAGTTGTGACTCTGCGACGGACAGTTCAGTTTTGTTCTGGTGAGCCGGGCTTGCGGCTCGAGGAGGAGAGAGCCTCTTGGAAGTGACTCTTGTACATTTCGCCCGCGCGTGTCAAGCAGCAAACGTTTCTTTCTCTGTGAGAGTGGAGGAGAGAATGGAAGGTGCAGGTGCTTCCCTCGTCAGTGACGCTGCTGAACATGCGATGGCCTCCGTATACGGGGAACCAGAGACGCCTGATGTGAGGGAGACAGACGAGGAACCGGAGCTTCCGTCCGCTGTCCAGGACCTTCTACGGCGTCTGGAAGGCAAAGGCGAGCGTATCCGGTGGCTTCCCGATTTAAGCAAGCCAGAATTTCGAGAGTTCTTTCCGGATGGTGAATTGATTTCGACGATCACAGGGTGGCGAAGCCAAGTGCGCCTTCGAGTGCTGGAGGCAATCGGCAACTGCAACACCTTTGAGGAACTCACCGTGCCACTCATTCATGACAGAGCTAAATATGACGGAGGTAGATATGGGTCGACTTGGGGAGATATATCGAGGTTGACGGCAAGCGAGTGGGCGATAGTTTTCAGAGGATTCATGTCTAGCACCAATCTACAAGAGATACACGTTAGAAAATTGACATGGAGTTCAGATGCGGAAGTGGAGAGCTTGTATTCACAGCTGGGGAGAATTCTGAATTCCTCTAGCGTGACAGAATTGGATATAGAGGGTTGCGAATTGAGTGCCAGATGTTGGTTGAATCTCGCCTCAGGACTGCGAGGAAATTGCGAATCTAAACTCCAGTTTTTATTTTTACGGGACGCGTGGGAGGACTCGAGTGCGGTGAAGCATGTGGCTGACATGATCAACAGTGCTCCTCTATTACAAAAGTTGGCATTAGAGAGTTCGAAAATGGATGATGAGGCCGTTGGAATGCTGTCCCAGGCTTTGATCCAGAGCTCGTCTTTGCAAGAATTGACGTTATGGGAGGTGGAGTTGGGAGCGGCCTTGTTGCTGAAAGCTTTGGCCGGAGAAGATGGCAACCGATCCATTGAACGTCTTATCCTGGTGAAAATGGATGGACTCGGAGACTGTTTGAGGCAAGTTCTTTCTTCCAACCCATCATTGAAGGAAGTGAGCTTGGGACACGTGCGGATGGGTCCTGAGGAATGGCAGCAGCTCGGCGAAGTCATACGTGACAATGCTACAGCAACCAACATTAATGTAGTTTTCTGGGGAGAGGATGAAGAAGATGCTTGGAAGTCAATAGAAGCTCTTGTGTGTGCTGCTAGCTCCGATGTCAAGGACCCCACATTGGAGCTTTGCTTCGTTCCTAAGAGTCACCATTATTATATGTTATCACTAAACCTATTAGGTAGGGCACTGCGCGGGGAACTCAAATCTCTAAAATCTTTCGTATGGCGGAAGGATGAGTATTCAGGTAGCAACGAAGATGGATTAGAAGGTATCCTGTCAATGAATGGAAACACTGGAGAGACTTCAGTCCTGAAGAAACTGACATTAGAAACTATCCAGAAAGATGTTTTGAAGGACCTTCTTCGGTGCTTGCGAGTGAACACAAGTCTCACTCACTTGTCTTTGATAAACTCCAAAATAGAAGAAGAGGCGTTCAGGGACCTGATGGGGATCCTGCGAGGGAACACAAGTCTCACTCACTTGGATTTGGGTGGGGTCAAAGTCTTAGGGGAGAAGGAGGCGTCCTTCAGGGACCTGATGGGGGTCCTGCAAGTCAACTTGACTCTCCAGAAAATAAATGTGGATAGAACCAGATGGAATAAGGACGGAAAGGCGGCGCAGATTGAAGAGGCGCTCAAGCAGAACCAGAAGCGGGCCGTGGACATGTGCGTCTTCAGAGAAGCCAAATTAGAATTTGAAGCTGCAAAAGCTGGTCGACTCTTCTTATGCGGCTCTCCTCTAGCAGGTAACTTGCACTGTGAGATCTTACTTTTTTTTCTCAATGTATGCAAACTAGCAAACTAAGGTTTGACTTTTCAAAATTTACTATTACAGTCAAAAAGTTGAATTTTTTTTTTGAACATGTGTTTGGAATTGTGTAAATATTTGAGAAAACTAGAGAGAAAAGAAAGCTAATATCCCAAAGTTTTAGATTATAAATAAGACTTATTTTATAATTCTAAACTTTGATGTGAAATTTGGATTTTTTTCCAATTCTATTTATCTATAAATATGATTAAATAATATGGTAGTAAATGATTTGTAAAAATATCTCAAATAACAATTTATATTTCTTTTAATTCTACTTATTCATTTTCAGGCAAGACTAAAGTGCGTCAAACCCTGATGAGGATAGTTAAAGGCGAAAGTTGGATTGGCAACAAATGGAAGGAGTTGTGGAGAACACAGGGAATTGAAGTGGAATTCTTGCAAAACGATGACAAAAGTCAAATCTCAATATGGGATCTTGCGGGACAACGCATTTTCCGTACCCTTCAAACTGTGATCTTCCCTCAATCCAACAATTTTTGTATTTTTTTATTTGTTTATAGTCCCTTCTGTGAAGAAGATTTTTCAGAGAAAGAAGGAACTTGTTTCGAGACTGAGTTGGAGGAATGGTTAAGTTTCATCACATCCAGCAGTAGGCTCACAGGACATAGTCGTCCACAAGTTCTTGTTGTTATTACACACAAGGATAAAGTGCCATACAGCTCTTTGGAGTGGGCTCAAAACATAGTATGCACACTAACCAAAAGATTCGCAAATTTTGTGGATCTCCACCAAGAGGTTTTTTATTTGGATGCACGAAAGAAGAAGGAAGTTATTCCTCTCAAAAATCACATTTTTGAGATCTTCAAAAATTTGTTGAGTGAAAAGTCCCCACGGATTCCCCAATTGTGTTCACATCTCTCCTCCCTCTTGGTTACAAACACCAAGAAGAACAGATTTTCCCCCCTTTGGCCATCCAAAACCTTTCATGAATTCTGTGGTCTTAGTTTGACAGAATTTATTCCATCATCTTCAGCTCATTCAGTTGATCGTGAAAGGATAATGAGCTCAATCATATCATATTTGAATGACGTTGGATCCATCATTTCTATCCCCAACCTTGATTACATCATTGTAGATCCCAACTGGCTTACTTATACATTATTGGGTAAACTAGTAGCTCTAGGTCAAAACTTTCAACCTCAACCATCTGGGTCCTTTGAAAGAAGCATATACGCAAGCAAGCACGGATTTGTGAGCGAGATCGTCTTTGTTCGTTTGATGGAGGAGTTTCGGCGAAGCCAACCACATGGACAGGGAGATGTGACCACAAAGGTGCTTGAAGACATCCTTATCAATTTAGATTTGTGTTTCAAGGTGGAAGATCCTTCTCAGTATTTCATTCCTTCCTTCATACCAGAGCATGCAAGCACGAAAAAGCAGACGGCTCAAGAATTGGCTTGGGAAACTAGGAACGAGACTTCACAGTTTGTCGGCATCCGGATTCAATGCCAAGATGGAATCACAATGTCACTGACCGCTGCTTTTTTTCCATGCTTTCAGGTGATTTCATATTTACTATGAGAAGATTGAATGCGTCAAGTTCTTATTGTAACTTGTGGTTGATGAATGTAGTGTTCCATTGAGTTTTTTGAATTTATATCATATTTACTTCAAAGATGAATTCAATTTTCAGAATGCGCAGCTCAATATTTACCAAATTTTGTATCATTGTAGATGTTCATGAGACGCAAGTTGATATCGGAGATGAATGTTTCCAAGAAGAATGTGACCTGCTCTCGCCATTATCTGCAACTTTTCCTTGATGGGTACGAGATCTACGTCGAGCAAGGAAGGTCCCACAAGTACGTGGATGTTCTGATGTTACGCTCGAAGCATAAATCAAGGTCGGAAGCTCTGCAATATGTGATGAAGCATATTGTCCAGGAGTTGATATCATTTTGCGCATCACCCAAAGGCTGTCCAGGGCTGGCGTTAGTGCTGGGTGTGATCCAAACTCGTTGCGTGGAGATGCTGGTTCCGATTGATCTCAGAGGAGCCATTTTGATCAAGGAGCTCAAATCAAACTTCATTCGTCGCATCAATGAGAAACTTGAGGATATTCCGCGGGATAGGTTGCATTTGGTGAAGGAGGAAGAGTTGTTGAACTATGAGCACTCTTGGCCCTTGATTGACGGGCACACACCGAGAATATCCGAAAGAGCTAGGGATTTGCTGCAGGAGAGCGATGTGGAAGCGGTTGTGAATGAGATTCGACAGAAGTGCGTTCAACAATTGGAATCAATTCGGCGAGCCTTCATAAGTGTGAGCAATGATTTGGATCAACCTTACATTGAAAGTGAGAACAGGGTTGGCAACTCAAGTAATTCAGACCGACTTGATAGGTCCAACTTTGTTAAGCTGGATGAGAGATTGAGATCAGTGGAGAGCGTGGTCCAGAGAATGGACATGAAGCTGGGACAGATACTCACTTTCCATCAAGAATTCCCGTCAAGGTTAAGTGACCTCATGTCTAAAATGGACAGGATGATTCAGTATCCTGAATCTTTTCAGCAGGCGAGAACTCCCAAGAGACCTTACGTGACAAATGATGTTGGTGTTCTCTATAGGATAAGTGCAATTCTGCATGCCGGGACAACCATTCGCTTATATTTAATGTGTGAGTCAATGACTGGATTTCACAAAGTCAAAGATCAAGAAGGTTTGAACATACGCTTGGATAAGGAGAATCTCACGTGGCTTCGGAAAACTATTGAAATCTCATGCAAACTCGTGTATTACGCTGTGAAGGCAGGACTGGAAAGGACCCTCAATTTGAGCTCAATGATTCCGGACTGGAAAGATTTAGAATCAGATATTGTTAAACTAGATAGCATTAGCGATCGTGATCGTAGGGCAGTTTTAAAAGGTGGGGAAAGCATGGAGCTAAAAGAAGCATGGCTGAGGATTCAGCAAACTCTTGCGCCTCAGCTTCGAGGTAGCTATTCGGCAAAATTCAAGTTGTTTCGGGTGAAATACGTGAGTCTAGAATTAGGTGGGCATGCATGGGTGTGCGAGGAGTGCATGCATAAAGGTCTTCGATCTGGCATTTTGACATATTAGGAATTTGAAGAGGTTAGAATGTCACTATGCAATTTACAAGCATATGTTTAGACCCTCATGCAATATGAGCATCTGCGATACCTTAGGGTTTTCACTTGTAAAAGTCTTTCATAATTTATGCAATCATGTCAATCGCGCAGTTATGCTTCTAAAGAAGATCAGCTTTGGCTATCTATCAAAATTACATATTGAGGACAAAGTTCTATGTGCGGCTTGTTGCAAGTCTCACCCTGTTGAAATCCCTTCATTTAAACGTTGGGTTGTCAGCCTTGAATTTTGATACATATCCTTGAATGATGAGGGTGCAACAACTGTAGAATTGACAGGAATAAAGATCAGATTATGTTATTTTTGTACAGTTGGTAGCCTTGTTTAAACACTAGTGAACACTGCATGTTCAGACCACATGCAGTGTTTAAGATGTGCTGGAGTCGGCTTTCCTCATCTGGCCTTTGTAACACTCGATGTGCACTGTTCGAGCGGCAGGCTCTTGAAGAGACAAATACGGTTGTGCAAACCTCTTGAGTCAAATGACTAGCATGTGATTAGAGAGACAACGTAGATTTACGCTGAGGATGTTGCGGGAGTATGTGAAAAAGAGGGTCAAGATGTAAGAATCCGAATGACTTCTTAGATATGTGACTGCAGCTAGGTAGCTTTTTGCGCTCCATCTGTAATCTATGATGAACCTTACTCTGAACTGGATGGTCGGAATAATTCATGAGACAATCAAATCATATTATTTTTCTTTTTTACCAACTGTTGTCAGGAGTAATTTAATGGCAGCTTGGTTGTCTTCTGCAAATTCTCTGAGCAAGGCAGTTCATTCAGAAGGTATTGATCTCAAGGCTGTGGTAGAAGAAATCGATATGGTCTTAGATGTGCTAACACTGAGATCAGGTACGGGAAAGTCTTCCACAGAACGCATTTTGGGACATTTTGCTGGCTGATAATGGAAATTCATGCAATGGGCGTGCCTTGTTACGTGGTGCAGATCTGCTTAAACGGCAGCAGGCCTGTTTTTAGTGGCAAGATTGATGATGTGGTGAGGTTTGAACTGGTTAATGGTAAATCCCCAATCAATAAATATCATATCAAGGGATTCTTAGAAAAAATATATTGTGTAAGTATTCCAGGTCAAACACAAAGAAATTTAGTAAAAAGATTTGGAGTTCAACATCAAATGGTACACAATGGAGACATGTTAACGATAACATTTTCAGTTTCACGATGAAAACATATTCTATTATATTGACAGCTGGTTCAAAATGTCAGAAAATTCATGATAAATTTAGATCTGATGGTTAGAGATCAAATTTCAGCCGGTGAAGATATATCTGAATTTCATCGATCTTTATGAAATAGTAAAGTAAGATCCATGAGTGACGCGCTTTTGTTGACTCTGCTTGATCTCAGTTAGATATTATATTCTATGTCTAACAGACTTGGCGTCTAGAGAATTTTCCAGTTATTACTTTGACCCTTCAGCAGCTGACAGAAGCTCAGGGGATCTGAACACACATGCCGGTTCACAAACGAAAGCTCGGACGATTTGCTTTTGATAAGCTGACTTTTGAAGTGGGCTCCACTCCCACTGAGATGGCCACGAAGAACGATGCGGACCGCTTTTCCGGAATCTCATTGAACCTGGTGTACCAGTAAGTGCTCCAGTCCTTGAGCTGAAGAATCTCGTGCCTGGTTACGTACTAGAGCGCTTTGAAATCTAATAAGTAGTAAATAAAATATCCCGATGTCTGATCCTCGCCTGACGATCGCAGGAAGGGAAGGGGATGATATATGTTTTCTACGCGCTACCCATCGTAGTGTCTGTCTTCCCGTGGGTCTTGATGCAGCTAGGTTCTCCTTTTCCCGGTACAATTGTACATGCAGTTTTACACAATCGCAGAGTACTCTGCGATTCCATGCATTCTATGCCGGTGTACTTCCACATCACACCATCTTTGTTACAAAACATCTTTTTGATTTCAAAATAACCTGCACATCAATACAACAGCTCTTTCCTTTTGGGCTCACAATAAAGTTTCGCTTCCGAAAGTCGTGACCTTCCTTTTGCACATGCTCTACGATTTTATTGAAACCAGAATTCTGATTCTCACCGCTATTTATCCACATTGCTTGCACTTCACTGTTTCTACTTTGCACAATCGTTTGCGTTCATGGTTATTGCTCTTGATCTGATCATCTGCAGAGCATGGAGTAATCTTTGGGTAGCCACTCATGCAGAGTGCAAGAACTCTTATGCCCAGCAAGCACATGTTATCACGATGCGACGGGAAGTTAAATTATCTCCGGGAGAGTCGTGCTGATCGAGGAGATGGCCTTGCGACACGCGGAATGGACTCCGCGACGAGGAACCGGAGCTTCCTTCCGCTGTCCAGGACCTTCTACGGCGTCTGGAAGGCAAAGTGGAGACTTTCTGGTGACTTCGGAATCGAGAGAATCGCATTAAAATACATCTTCCATCTCCGGTCCCAAAGCTTCATGAAGAAATGGGAAGCAATGGTCGTGGGCTCAATGAGAACCCACCCTTTGTAGCTTCATTGCTGTCAAGGCCTGTACTGATAAATCTCCACACAAAAGCCCTCATCCTAAATCTCACGGTGCGTTTTGAACTACATTACAGTTATCTAACATTAAACAAATCTTGCAGATTTATTACAAGCAGAGGCGGTTTCTGAAATTATGATCCTTCAAAACCAATTGCTCTGACTCTTCTAATCCTCGTAATGAAATATCTTTTAAATCAATGCTTGTGAAGGCGCTGCCGTCGTCTGTCTAAGACTCTGAGTTTGAACTCAGAGTCTAAGACAGTTTGAACTCAGATTGTAGCTTGAACACATCCTGATGAAAATGGACAAAGAGGTGGCAGTAGGGAAAGAGGTTGTAGAAACTAAACTCCACGACCTCGGAATGAGGAAAAATCAGATACTCTATCTATCCCATAAATGAGATATATTAATGCCCTCGCACGGCCGCAGATTAGCCGTCCGATCGTCAGGAGAGAGAGAGAGAGAGCACCGTTGCGATGCAGGAGGAACGGGGATTTATTCCCGGTCGCTGAGTTTACGACCGGCTGGCTCGTTCTCCGACCCTCGAGTTCCGACTGACGGTATCGGGGATCCATCGATTACCGGAATCTCTGGGGAGGATTCTCATGTACCAAAATATTTTAGCCTCTGCAAAAATTTGGACGAAGTCCAAGCTGAGGCGTCGTCACCGATTATTAAACAGTTAATTTAACAAATAATCAGCCTCGGTGAACACGAGTGGTGACCTGCTCGTAAATGTTTCGACGGTGCGGGCGACCTGCTGCATCGAGTAATCGATCCAACGTCGTCAACTTCCATTCCGGTTCGTTGCTCATTGCTGTGCTGTACCGATTAAGGCGCGACGCAGTTTCCCTCTCAGGCGTCGGAGGATGAACGTCGTGAGACGGAGGCGAGGCTTTGGGGTTCGGGTCAGGAGGAGGGCGAAGGCCGTGCCGCCGAGGACGGACTATTCGTAGGTCTAACCGTCGCCCCAGAGGGCGTTGGCCTCCTCGCCGTGGGTAGTGTTGGAGGCACAAACTCACTGGTGCCCCCGGTGCGAGGGCACCTGGGCATGCCCGTATGTATAAATAAATGTATATGTATTTCTTAGAACTTTTCAATAATTTTATTTTCAAGAGTGTTTTATTTCCATAGATGTACACTTTCGAATATCTCAAATGTATTAATTTAAATACGGGTATACCTTTTGATCTCGAAAGGGGGCATGGGCATGCCTCAAAATATTTTGCTGTGTCTCCAATCCTAACCGTGTGCCGCGTCGGTGCAGGTGGGCGAAGACGCGGCACCTGCGGCTCCGTCTCGGACATGCGCAGCGGGACGACGAGCTAGACGAGCGACGTCGCGACGAGGTTCCAGCCCCAGAGGAAGAGCGCGCCGCAGAGCTGCTTGGCCAGCTGGAGCGCGTCGCGGCGGCCTTGGCTGTTGCCGGCGTAGACGAGGCCGCGCTCGCCCGAGATCGACAGGAACAGGTCGCAGAGCGTTGGCTGCGCGAAGAATGCGGCCAGGACGCCGCCTAGCGTCCGGCCATGGCGTGTCGTCCACCACGTTGAACCGTTTACTTCTTACCCAGGATTATCACGTTGTACCACGGCACGCTACCCGCTAACATCCCATCACCATGGCTGCCCCGATTACATGTCACAGATTTAAGATAACAGAAAAGAGAAGAAATTCTCGAAGATTGTTCACAGTGGATGTTAGAAATAGTGATTAGATGAATAAATTAATAAAAAAAACTAGTAATATTTTATTAATAATAATAATGGTTAGTAATATTAGAACAATATCGATTTTTAAAGATTAGTATTTTCATTCGTCTCTCATTGGAAAAAAAAGAAAATTTTGAATCTTTTCCTTCACGGTTGGGATTCAAAAAAATCTGTTGCTAATAATAATAATCAGTTGAATAATTTTTTTAATACATTAAAATATTTTTCTCAAGGCTCTGATCACGAATCAACCTTTCGAGTTCTCCTATCAGTTTCAAATAAATATTTTCTCCAAGCAGAATATTATCGATCACTTCGACTGAAATAACCGAATCCCGGTTCCCGATCGTTTAAGAATTTTATTCTGCACAGACCATCATGGCTCAGCTTAAAGCAGAGATGCAAGTTTCATCAGCTGTTGTTACTGTATCAGCTTTCATGGCGAGCTCGAAGCTTGAGGACATGGCCACGAGAGTTTGTGCTGGGCCTAAACCGGCAAACAGTTGAGTTTGATATCTAACACCATTGATCTATATAAATGTTTTATATATATATACACTAATTTTTCAAATTGGTGTAATATTTAACTGGATATAGTTTAGACAATAGACTTATTCAATATACTGTGAGACTACCATTAATGATTAGTTCAAGCTTCTTCTCGACTAACGCAATGTACTGAATTTTCTAGGTTTCGGACAAGAATTTCAATGAATTAAGGTCTTGAAGTAAGAGCAATGATAGACACTAGCAAAGAATCTACACATTCAAAAATTTTAAGAGACTTGCAATATTTAGCACTCATATACCAAGCTAACAAAACACTTGGTTCATAATCCCAACCAATAAATCTCTCTTCTCATAAAAAGGGGGGCAGAATGATCTAAGTTCGTCCTTGTAGGCTCATAGTGCCTGAGCTTTTGCTGCTGAAGGTTTTGACGTTGTCCCGTAAAAAAATGAGCTGTGATTACCAGCAACGTGATCTTATTGATAGAAAGTCAGGGCTGCAATTACTTTCAATCACAAGTACTTGAGAAAGTAACATATACTTGCGTGTAGTCTAGTGAGGTGGAATCCAGCTGTCTGAAGGATGCAATCTGCTAGGGACTTATGTTAGAACAGTTGCTTCTGGAGGTAGATATCAAGTGGTAGTTACCTAGCGTTCACCCAGCTCATGTAGCCAGCAGTTCAGTGTTTCAAAGCAAAACGATGCACCTAAATCACAGTAGATAACCAAAAGCTTGTCCAAGTTAAGAGGTGGTATAGTGTACCGCGATTTGATCATATAACCTACAAACTCTTCATGAAAATTAGAAGGAAAAAAATTCCGTTTTAATTCTTGTCAAATTTTAATATTCCATTTGCTTAACAGTAAACAAGTTTTCTTGCTTATAGATTTTGTGCATTGAAGAATCAACTTTTAAACTCTATTTGATGTTTTCCTTCATTTTCTAAGTTAATTATATGTATGTAATAACTAAGCTTTTTCCATGATTCTACTACACAGATGGTGTTAAATGTATTACGGTAGTACGATCAATTTACCACCAAACCTATCAAAATTCTCATTCATATATATCTCTACACATGGGTGGCCACCTTCATTGAATCTTTTGAACCGCCAGAAGAATTTGTAGTTCACAGAACGTTTGAATCTTCATAGATCGGAATACTATAAATACTTGAGAGAGAATTTGATTGACTTCTATTTGATACAATTAGACTATTGTTAGTTACTACTGGTTAGATCCAAACTAGTGGGTCCGTGAGAGATCTCTGGACGCTGGAGGCAATGGTATCCTCGTGGATTCTCAGCGTGATTTCCACGTGCTCGTGTAGACAGCACGCCCTTGTGAAGTTTTTTTCCAATTTTGATAAAAAGGCAGAAAGTTCTGGAGAAGGAAGTTAATCTTCTTAGAGTGCTGAGAAATATTCCCATAAAGGGCCGATGTCCTGGTAAAGCTTGTGTCAGCAGCAAGTCACTGCCTGACATTGAACAACATCCTCTGTTTCCGAGAAGGAAACACCGGTCGTTTTGACCATATCATTCATAGTCCCAACTATACGAGCTTCGGAAGAAGAACATCCAGACAACTCTTCAATTCATACACAATGACAAAGATCCCGATTAGATACCCTGATGCAAACCTCGTCAGTGACCTAGATATCCTAGATCTAGACATGCCTTCCAACCTAAACTCACCAAAGTGGACATTGAGTCCAATATCGTCAGGCCGTGTACATCAGAAAGTGCTCTTGAAGAAAGCTATCGTCGTTGAGCACTATTCCCATAAACAATTTGAGCTGTTTGAGGAGGTGAAAGCCAGCTGGGATAAGGATATATGCATACAAGGATGTTCTTACTGAGACAAAGACAACAGGGTTACTATACTCCAGACATATTCATGCCTCCAATTTGCAGGGACTGGAGGATGTGTATTACAAGATCCTGAGGCAATTCTGTCAGATTCTTGCATGGTTTGTTCAGTGTGTATTTGCAGGTCTCGTATTCGAGATACTTTCTCTGCTTCTTGCATTCCAATCAGTACGGCAAGTGTTACCTCCCGTAGACATGCCGCTTGGGAAGTTAGACAAAAGTCGCTCTCTCCCTATGACCTCGTTGCATCCAAGCTCATTCATCGGTCTTTGTTCAGCCCGGCACATTCTCTACAAACTATGTGGAAGAAAACGGATCAGTGTAGAAACCCTCATTCGGGCCCAAAGAGCTTTGCAAAAGTGTCCGTCCCTCAAACTAGCCCTCCTGAATGACTGACCCTCGTGGCCGAGCGAATCTCTCGAGGCCCAGGCACGACCTCAGAACAATGAATACATCAAAATTTCTGCTAAACTCTTGGAACCGCTTGTTGGTCAGACCTTGCTTCCTGCCTAAATTTATCGAAGGGTGATCCCAAATTTCACAGATCCAAACTTGTAAAGAGAGATCCGTGTCTGGGTGTCACCCGCAATCGTCTCCATCGAGGAGCTTAACCATTCACGTCACACGGTGATGTGCTCACTCACCTTTGATCCTCCTACTCTTCAGGCGAGCATAGCTGAGCACACCGCCCTGAAACATGGGGCAGAAAGAGTGATGCCGGATAATGGTCACCATGACGACAATATTGGCTGCGAAGAAAATAATGCTGGCAACCCACAGCGGCAGGAACGTGTTCTTCCCCCTGAACTCCAGCAGATAAGCCCATCCGAGCCAATGCACCTGAGCGCCCGTCCAAACAGACATAAGAGCTGCCCCTCCCCACCGCAGCTTCAAACTAGTGAAGGGCAGAATCAAAGGCAGGAGGCAGAAAAACCAGACGAAGTACTGGGCGGTTATGACCTGCGCAGTCAAAAGTCCAAGGCAGAAACGTCGTTAGGAAAGGAGCAGAGAAGAACAGGCTAGAGTGTTGTCGTTGCTAACGGCAACACACGTTCAAACCTCTTGAGGAATGACAGGGAGGGGAAGAGAAGCACCTTGTTGAACGTGACGAATGCGACCGTTTGCAGGAAGAAACAGAACGGCAAGTCTTTGGCGAAGAAGGCGACCAGCACCAACTGCACTGACATTTGGGGGACGAATGCCAGGAGCCGCTGAGCCAGAGTCAAGCCAACATCGTCGTTCAAGTAGATGGAGTAGAAGTAGATCGAGAAGTTGTGGCGGTGGTCACTTCGGGTGAGGTGGTAGAACAAGGCCTCGTGTAGATACTGCGTGCCGTATATGAAGTAGAAAAGTCCACACAGTGCGAAGAATACAGACCCTGATACTGCTCCGAACACCACTCTCGGCCAGTTAAAAAACGACCGAAGTGAGTGCTTTAACCGAGAAGAGGCACCTGGATCGTTGCTAGAACCCTTTCCTACCATCTTCACATAGTCTCCGTCGAGAAGAAGTAGAACTGGAAGCACGTAGATAATCGGGTATATCCTCACGTGCACCACTACTCCAAACCAGAACGCCGCTTGGATGACGCGCCCTGCAAATGTCGTGGATTGATTCAGTTCATGATAACAACGATATATTCCATCCTGATGATCATGACCTCCTTTCAGATAAGGATAGGAGAGAACTATATATAAATCTGGACGGACTTTTGACACATGCTTGTGAGATAGATGGCACAACTTACATTGTTCATATGAAGATAAGCAAAGGAAGACAGACAAACTCTACAATAAAAACAATCTTTCAATGGGACGATTTAGCATGAAGGCTATTATTCTCCGTTTCTAAGTTTCAAATAAATATTTTATATCGTTTTCTTATCGTACCAGTACATAAAATCTAAAGGGAAAAGGACGTGTATCAAACACCAGTCCGTAAAGCTAGAAACCCGCGCAGTTACGAATATGTGGAAAGGAGAGCAGACGCGGATATGCATCGCATAAGGCGTAAACCAAAAAAGTGACAACGACATGGTAATTGCGCCGATCGGGAAGAAAACGGTGGCATAGAAGCAGCAATCTACAATAGCTATATGCAAAAACCATAGTTTAAAACCAGAGAGAGAGATACAACACGCTACCCATTGACTGTAAAAACAGAAGCCATGGCGTCTACGCAGTGTACGCGAGGGAGAACTCAGCGCTTGTTGAAGTACTGCCTAGGTCCGAAGTTCTTCAGCACACGAATCACCATGTGCCCCTCTATGATTCTCGATCACGAGATGCATTGATCTTGTGGTCAATACACGAGAGTATCGGATTGACCACAAGAACAATGACTCGACAGCCAAGGCGTCAGGTTTTTAATAAAGGCCAATCAGGCTCAGACAAATGTCTCAAAATTCTCTAACAAAACTAAAAGCTCCAATGCTGCTTGACTACACAGAGGGATCGGGACTAGTGGGTAGATTCTGTCGAAAGTCCACAGACTCATATGCTGATTATTCATAGACTCAGACTATTGCGCCCTTGGAACCAGGAACTACTCCGATTCAAGAAAGAGAAAGGCGAGATTTGCTGGAGGCTAGGAAGCCAACAAACAGAACAGATGTTTCATGTCATACACAGAGTCAGCCTACCAGACATGATGCAGAGCAGAAGCCAGAGTATCATAGCACATACAAGGGCTTCGCAATTTCCCCGAGTGCCCACCGTAAAAGTAAACGGATTGAATAACCATGTAGCAGCACTTATGAAGCATTGCCGCTCGGATACCCCTCTGAGGTTCAAAATCTTGCGTATCAACAGAGCAACAATTAAATCTGCACGAACCATAACAATAACCAACAGTCAGCTTCTGCTAAACACTCGCTGTTTCTGCAATGTGTTGGCATCATCCATGCGAGCTTATGACCAAGTAAATGTAGATCGTTGAGAGTTGAGAGTTGTTAACCGACCGACCTGCGAAGGAGAACAACAATTTCCCCCAACATCGATGGAGCGTGGAATTTGGGAGCAGAACGAGAGCTAGCAGCGGAGTGTAGCGATATGTGGCTCTGTCGAAAGGAGATTTCCCTAGATGAATCAGAGCTGCCGCATCAGAGAACACGTAATAATCTATGTCCGTGTACGGAACCTCGAGGTGCGCATCATGCCACTCGGCATAGACAACGAGCAGCAATCGCATGAACCCGGCCGTCCACATCATCAAGGCGCTCCGCTTCGTCCACATCTCATCGTCCATCAGCTTCTTCAGGGCCATATTCCTCTCGAGTTCTTCGGCCCTGAGACCTAACTGATCGCTCAAAAACTGAAGTTGCATTTGTTCTTCCGTGATATCACGACCACCACCAAAATCTTATGTCCGATCTTCGTCTAGGAAATTCGACAAGTTGCTCAAACATTTCTTACGAGTCTCAACCCACAACCCTGCCCTAAACATGAGATTGAACTCCAGATTTCTCGTACTTCTTCTCGAGCAGCATCCAAGCCCTCGCCCATCGTTGCAGGTCGAACAACTCATCAGCACGTGCATTGGGTCATATGCTCAGCAATCATACATACTGCATGGCCTTCCCACGCACTCGTCCTCATCATCTGTAGATGCAGTGCACAAATTTCAGCTGATTAGTCAAGTAAGTACAAAAATCACCAGCAATTTTTCGAATAAGTACAAAGCCGAAACTATTTGGAAGGAATTAACGGAGAATTCTCTAACCATGGAAAAAACCGAAGCGTCCAGAATTGCTGGCGGAACTTCATACGAAAGCTCTACGCTACCGATGGTACCGAAAGGCTACACGGAGATTCTTACAGTTTCTCAAGAGCATCGTAACAGATTCATCATCATGATCCAATCCCAGACCAGAACGAGCCCCTCTTGACCCACTATACGACAAGATAGACCCAACACAGTGCTCGTGTGACATGCCCCTGGGCTCCTATGCCTAGCTTCTGCTGGGAGGACCGTTATCTAGCTCAGCAGATGCCAACAGGTTGCCTTCATTTGATAGATGGCATTCCTTCATCCACCGGCAGAAACTTTCAGCAACCCACAAGAGAAAGGAGCGATCACGTATCCGTCTGATATTCTCACTCTTCGTATATTCCTCAAGTGGACAACGTAAATCTTCTTCAGATGAAGAGCGATATGAGTAATGAACACACGCATGAAAAAAGAATGCAACGTGGATGACGAGATCCATGGCGAGGATTCTGGCAAAAACTGCTTGGGACTTTAGCTTTGAAGGACCACCCGTATCACCGAAAGCTGAGTAGTAGTACTGTGAGGGGAAGCGGAAAAGAACGCCCATCGGGATGTGGTTGCCTAGGGGAGACTCCTTATTTTCAGGGATCAAAAGTTGAAATGTCCAGAGAATCTTGGGTCTCAGGTCTGATGTAAACCAAAGGAATTTCCCGGTCGAAGTTTCGCAGAAAGGAAATTATCTCAAACCCGTGAAATTGAAAATAAATCAACTCATACCTGGCATTCATGCAAGAAAAGATAACCAGGTGTGATGGAAGAGCCCTTTACAGTGGTCCCCTGGGAAGAGAATTCAAATGCATGAGAGTGGGAAACGAACTCAATCCTGTAATCTGCTTTTCTGTCTCTCTCTCCTTCACAATAGCAAGTTGTTCACTGCAAATGACGTCATCGTGCAATGTAGCTTTGATGCACAGAAAACTATAGCGTCTTCTTTTGAAACAAGATCACGTGTTGCAACGACGTGCACAACATGCAGACTCGATGGCGGGACCTCAGCAGCACACACATATTCAAGATCAACGATGAGAAATTGAGTATCTAGACGAAGCTAGATTTTCAACAAGGAAATCTGAAAGTTTTCAGAATGACCGATCGTTGACAAACTAACTTCAAGTTGAAAAACTCGGATACACACGACAAAACATGAATGCAAAACTTCGGATTAAGTTCCATAGACGCCGGAATCCACCCTTAAGAAGATAACATAGGATTGAAGAGAAGCAACCAGATCATAGACCACAAATTCCTACCACAATCAATCTAATCCGCCTCGACTCTCGGTGACATGCCGCCTTCTAACTGACATCTACGAGCGTTCAACTTTGTGCGACTCGCAGGAATGACATTCATGCACGAGAAGGAGTCCGCAAAACGGAAAGCCGAATCCATAGAAACTTAAGCAGGCCAATGCTCACACACAGAAACCAACCACAAACGCCAACCTTACAACACATCTTTTCTTTCCGACGCTAAGCCGAGAGACAAAACCTCATTCGCCAGAGCGCAAGGATCGCTTACGGCCACATAGACGCCATCAACAAGGCCGCCTAAATTGAGAAGAGCGGGAAGAACACAAGCGAGGAAGTTTCACCCAAGGCAAGCAAGCTGCTGTAGCTAGAAGATGGAAGAACTGCGCAACGAAGAGAAGCACGAACTGCACCAAGAAAAGCTTACCCGGCGAACCCATGGCTTGGGAGCTTCAGCATCAGCTCCATGGCAAGGAGCAGTTTTATTAGGTATTACCTTCCTTGTCCTTCCATCGATTGGGTGCTCGAGGTCTCAGTGAAACTAACAGCAGCAGTGAAAGCAACTTCTCTTCTGGGTACACTCTGTGCGCGCAGTAATCGCTGCAGCACTTAGCTCCACTTGATGCCGTCAGATACTTTCAAGCTGCCAGAGTAGAAGCCGGTTTTAGAACGAATGCTCTGTGCATTCTCGGGCATGTGATTCTATTTCTTTCTTACTGATTCGTTGGCATGATAGAGACGAGTTGCAGCTGACCTAAGGTCATTTTCAACTGTAGATTAAAGACTTCCTTCCGGCACTTCATCTAATTTCAGACAGTTTTAAGCCCCCATTCTTCAATTTAGAATACCCCTCATTCGAGTTCCGAGACGGCGACGATGATCATCGCAGATACTCCTCTCGCCTAGGTCACAAACGGATTCAGCTTCTTCAAAAAATCTCCCCAGGTAAGCCAGGCTTTCCTCCTCATCGTCGTCTCGAATAATCGAGGGTATCATTGAATACTCAAGTTTTGATTCAGCAACTAAATGTTCTTTTCATCGGAGTTCTTTTCGTTGGTGACTAATGACTAAGTTGACTTCCCGTCCTCCATCCTTTAGCCTCTCTGCGTGCGATCAAAAAGCAGTCGACAATCCTTTAATTTGAAGCATATGGCATCGAAGGTGTCCATGCAGACGCTGGGGATTCGGGGATTTCCCATAAGATAAAGGCTATGTGGTCAAATGTTTGGCGCAAAAGTTGCATATTAATTTTACCGTGGCCTTGGTGATCACTCAAATTGACAGCTTCAGATCTCGGGATAGAACATATGTCCAATTCCTCGTAGAAAGCATTCAATATTTACAGATACATTTGAGCTTGGGGCTGAGAAAAAGGTGTAACCGTTCTAGTGTCTTCAGGTTCTAAGCCGCACGCTGAAGCAATCAGCGATAAAGAGCAATCATAATCTAGCCTCGAGTTCAATTTTCGTTCAAAGCATGCTGCTTAGGTCGTCTCCCAAACTTACAGCTTTTGAGGTAAAAAATTTGGACACCATCAATGGTGAAAAAAAGGTGAACACCAACGGCGATACCACGACGTACTAAATTGGACTTTTGCGTTCAATTACCAAGACCCTCCAGAAACGAGATTAAGCCCTTAGTCAAAGGCATCTGATGTTTGGTGCGTGCAACCATTCAACGCTATGCTCTGCTCAGGCCACTTCTCCGGGCTTCAAAATTCAAATTTCAACATTCTAAGGTGTGCGATCACAGATGTGAAAATTGGGCGTTTACATATTTCCACTTGACTGCTTCTCAAAGCAGCGAAATACCCCGACAGTTGATAGCGAAACCCTGAGGGCTGGCCTCACACACTCTCAAAATGCAAAAATCATGCTCGTCTCCCAACATCACGTGCATGACTGTAAAATCGTGTGCACCGTCCTGTCAGTACTCATAAACGCCCGAGTCCTTACCAAAATTATCTATGTACGACATTGTTGGCTTCGCAAAGCTGCGGAGAGTGGATACTGACAATATCGAGTCTCATATCCTAGTTTTGACCGCAGATACCCTACCAAACAATGCACGTGGTTACCTCCGTTGAAGCTGAGCTACTCCCAGGGATCGCATGAACGCATATCTCAACCAAAATGAGCTCTTTCATTGGCATCATCATGACCTCAAAACAATTGCTGCGAGCGATACCGCATGGCACGGTACACAGAGGGTGCAGGATGGTGTCACCAGAAAAACCAAGAAGTCACCTACCGAGGGAAGACCAGAATTAGACCGGAGGATCCAATAATCACAGAAGCAGCCGACCTCGTGCACTGATTGAACCCGATCGATCGAGTCGCCTCATGCTTCTTGCTCGTGTCTGCCAAGCAAAACCAACGCAACGCACCGATTTCGGGGTCACAATTCCCTCTAGGGTTGGGAGTGGGAACGCGACGGCGACTCTGAACGGGGAGTGATGAACAATGTGCAAGACGAGAGGGGCTCTCGTGCTCTACGGCAGCAGCGATGAACCTGGCGGACAAATCCATTGCGAGCTTCAGGGGCGGCAATGAGGCGGAAAATATTTGAAGATCCTCGTCTTTGAGAAATCCGTAGGTTGTAACAATTGATTAATCTTACGAGCTTTTCATATTTTCTGGATTAGATATCAAACAATTGCCATTGTCTTTACTGGTAAATAATTAAATTGGGCTCCGCGTGGGATAAAGATTTTGACATCAAAACTATCCCAACGTAGAAGGAAGCTCAGGAAAGCCATGCCCGAAATCTAAATAGAATGAGACCATAATTATCTTTATCGTATGTAATCTATCTCAAGCAAATCATATTATACAATGCTTATGGGGACCTCAAACATTCACTTCTGTCAAGGAAAGTTGGTTGTGTACAGTTGTAGCTAATGATCACTGAAATGAGGCACTGATGCATTGTATTATATGATTTAGTTCAAAGGGTTGTGAGGATTGTGATCTAACTTGTTATATCATGCAAAGTCTAGCAGAGAACATACATCTTATTGAAGGCAAGTATTTATTTTTACTGAGCAGTAAGATGTCCTGTAACCACTTTTGTTCAGCATGTTTCCATTGTTTCCAATAGCACCTAGCGTTATCTACAATGCTGAGACTGATAACTATATTTTATGTATATCGCTTGTCATAGAATCTGTATCCCAACGTGGTTTTATTGGATGTTAGCTCCATGTTAATTGATCACTATATCGATTGAAGTGTTATTTTCACATTCTTGCTATGTTTTTTCCAAATGCAGGAAACAAATACATATATGAGTACATCTTTCAAACCCAACAAGAACATCTTTCCCACCAATTTCTCCACTTTCCTATCACATTTTTCTAATTCCTTGCAACTATACAGACAAAGCAAGTAAAACATTATTGTTTATAAATCTTCTATTAATTTTCCATCCGTGAGGCTTATAATATCGTGGCAAGATTAGTGATACCAAATTGGTGATATATATTTATTTCTATTAAATCTCGATATTACATAATGTCATGTTCAAACAACACAAAATTCCACTATCCTGAGTCATGGCATTTATTTCATTTTTAAATGTGTAATCTTCACAAATTTGAAATTACAAAAAAAGGAAAGCTTGGAATACAAGATGATATTAAAAGAAATTGCAATAAATCACAATGTGGAAAAATGATTTTCACATGTAAGCTTTCATCATGCAGTAAAAATCTAATACTTGACAAACTTAAGTTCACATATTTCTATAATCTAATCAATAAAATGTAATAAATTATGCTACGCAAAATAAGTACATATACAATCAAAATTTATGCAACTTCACATTTCATTTACTAAAAATAATGATGCATAAATCTACAGACAAATATATTTCTAGATAAATAGAGGGACTGTTAGCATTGACTATTCAATAATAAAGTAAGTGTTGAAATTTTCTCATAACAAATACCAGAAAGATGGGAAAAATTTTCCTTATTCAAAATAAATGGAAGAATTTTTTTTGAATATTCATTTATTCCTAATCATTGGATAGAGTTTAGATTATTACTTTTATGAATTGATCATAAGCAACAATGAAAGCTACGTGTCAATAATTGATTTTTTCATGAAAGGAAAAATATAATTTTATCTAATAACTTACAATGTATATTGATAGAATAAAATTAGTTTTAAAATATATTTGATATGTTTAATTCTTGATATTAAAAACACATTTGATCATAAAATTATTTTTTATGTCTACACATCTTAAAAAATAATATTAAAAAAATCTGATAATCTGGACATGTTCTACTTATTATAGATTATTACTAAACACTCATTGAGAACTGTGTATAACATTTGACTAACGAAAATCGTAAGTATAGGAATTCACATGTTTAGATTTTTATCAATTATTTCTTCTCAATCTATAGAATAATTTCATTTACAAGTTATTTTACATAAGTCTTTTACATTTTCTTTAAGGTAGAACACAATAAATCGTTCTGTACTAAAAAAATTATAGTGATAAATTTTAGATATGCATATCTTGTTAGATTTGTATAGAACTGTAATCAAATTAATATCAATGAATAATAGAAAAGGAAACTCTATTTAGAATAATTAATTTCTGTCTAAAAAAATTATAATCTACTGCCGAATTAGGACTAAAAGACAGTAATAAACCAAGAAAGATTTAAGGATTCTATTTTTTTTTACACTGAATTTTTTCGGATATTATAAAAATCTCATTTAAAAAAAATCTAAGCCATTTCCATGGAAAAGTATAAAAAACCGAACGTAATTAGTTTACGATCGACTGTACTGTATTTTCGAGTAACATATTACACCTGGAGTCTGATGATGTTAACGACAGTGCTGAAATCGAGATTATGGACAAATGAAATGTGACTACGAAGACTTTTCAACCGAATATTTTCACAGCAGACGTGATTTTTCCAGAGGAAGAAATCTCTGGACACCCTCGCCGCATTTCCATTGTCTCTCCACCTTCGAAGAAACAATGCAAAGCAGCGCCAGCAGAAGACCAACGACAACAAGTCGAAGGAAGAATCTGACTTGGCGAGGAAGACAAGGGCATTCGGGAAGAAGCGGTCGAACTCGGTCGGCTGGACGCGGTGTGAAAGAGGACTGAGCGGATCGAGAAGTTTCTGACACGGCGCAGAGAGGAAAGTATGAGCCATGTGGCATCTACGTGGTGGGTTCCCTCGATCCCGGATTCCAGACTGGGGGACTGTGAAAGTTTGGAGCCTGTCAGAAGGTCGACTCGGTCAGTTGGTCATACGCAGTACCTCTGCGGTTTGACTCTCCTGTCTCCTTCCTCCGGCGTCTATCTTCGCGACGACGACGTCGGGCTAGTCGCACGGGTCACCGGAAGCCCTTCGGACCCGAGGACAGTGAGTCCTGACCAGATACGCGCCCTCATGCGCGCCGGCATTCCGCGCTGCAGGACCGGACCACCGTCACAGAATCCGGCGGATTTACCTCTTCGCGAGCATCAGAAGCAACGATCTTCGGACGCTTTTTGCGTCGCGTCAGACTCGAGTCTTCGGCTCTGCGAAGCTTCGATCCGCGACGTTCACCACGTGGCAAAACTGGTGGTTGGAAAAAAACTCGCCCCTTGTAAAAAATGAGCGACACAGCTTGACCACGTCATCAGAAAGATTCGAGACTTCAACGCTGATGCCGCGACGAAACCTCGAATGGCAGTGACGTCGTAGCGGACTCTCCAGTCACGCACATGATACAAAACGACAAGAAAGGCATACTGCAATGGCAAGGGGGTTGGAACTCATGACCCGACCTGGCGGGTGGGCCCATGTGGCGGCGCTGGACACGCCGGTCCTCGTCTCGAAGTTTATGCTTACTTGGAGCATCCTGATTTGCCTGTTCGTGACAAGACGCTGACGGAGGCGCGCTGGAACTCCACTGGCTCCAGTGTCGGGACTTCCAGACGAGCGCGCAACGGCGCAAGTGCAGCGGCGGCGTCGTCGTCGTCGGGGGGACTCTGCTGCGAGTTCTGACTCGTTGCCGCGGCCTTACCTTCGATTTGCGCCTGCCGACAGACCGACCGGCCGCTCGAGGTCGAGAAGGGGGAACAAGAGACGTAGCCCCGCAGAAACTCGTCGTTCGTCGTTGTTCTTGCGTGGTGGCGCGGGTGGTGTTATCGCACTACATAACGCACGTCGCTGCCCCCACGGAGAGCGTTCTATTCTCGTCGCTCGATCGAGGCGAGGCGAATCGGAGAGAAAGGGGCACGAAACTCAAGTACTCTGTTCAGTTCGTCCGGAAGAAATCGACCGATCTTGTCGAAGCGGGAAGCAGAGCAGAACAGCGAGCGCCTTCGGTGGTTGATTCGGTCGCTCGGTCGCGCAGGTGGATAAAATCAGAGCCAAATTATTAATTTTGAGCTGCGCCGAGTGGACGACGGGGTTCGGGTGGAGTCGGGCGGCGGTGCGATCTCACCACCTGCGGGTGCTCCATCCGTCGTCTTCGGCGGCGGTGGTAGAGCTGAGCTGGTCTGGGCGGGGAATCCAGTTCAAGAGCAACAATGGCTCGATCGGGGGGAATGATCGAGCAGACATTCGTGGTGACCATCTTCGTCTTCATCATGGGAGCGCTCGCTCCGTTAGTGAACGCACAGGCGCCCGCTCCGGGCCCCGTCCCAACTTCTGACGGTACGTGTGCAATGGCCCCCTCCCAATTGCAACGCAACGAGTTCTTGGCATGTTTCACCGTTCCATGCTCCCCCTGTCTGGATCGAAGAGGTCCCCCGTCCCTTTGAATGGCAGTGCGTCGCTCGTCTACTCCTCTGCTTCATCATCTGATGAACTGCGTACACGACGAACCGAGTTTTGCTTCCCAGCTGGACCGAGTGACAGCACTCTGTCAGCTGTTACGCAGTTTAGTCGCTGCGCGTCTGATGAGGCTCTGTGTGGTCGCGTGCAGGTTACGCCATCGACCAGAGCGTCGCTTACACGCTCCTCTTCTTGGCGCTGGTGTTGACGTACCTCATCCACCCTCTGGACGCATTTCCTAGCTTCTTCTGAGTGACGACGACGGGATTAAGAAGAAATTCCTCGAGCGTCTTGGATCAGAGCTCCAGGTCGGGATGAGAATCGGAGGCGCAGAGAGGAATGGTGGCGCACCACGGATGACGAAGAATTCGAGGGTGCGATGCAGCAGCCGCTTGCGACAGACGTCCTGACGGAAGCGCGGCGAGCAGGGCAGAACGCCGAGCTGTTCGAGTCGCAGGGCTCGGTTCTTTCTTTTCTTCAAGATCCTCGCATTGTCCATTTTTCGGATTGTATTCGGTTTGCGAATTTTGTTCATGCACTGCGGAAGGAGGCGGCGGGCAGTCGCACCACTTCCGATCATTCATTACATTGTGATACTTACACTCGACGCAAAAGAAGCCTGACTTCATTTATCCACTTGCTGGATGTACAATAGATAGTAGCTCTGCTAGACGGGCACATCGTCCTTCTTCCAAGATTTTCAGTCCCCAGATAGAACGGGGGCATTGTTGACTAAATTCTTCGTGCCTTCAATGTTCAAAGCATTCTCTCAATGAACGAGCTGAGGGGTCGTTCGTAACGATTCCGAATCCGAGAGATTTTGGTGAATGCTGTGGTTTGTGCTTGAAACGTGTGGCATATGAGCTGGATACGATTCCACTTTCGTAATCATGAGATGACGGACACTACTTAAGTTTTGGCACCAATCAAGGGTGACATTTCATCCCGAGTTTCTATCATCGAAATGGTTGGCTATCTTTTCCAAGTTACTTTCTTTTAAGTTAAAGATATCCACCAAAACCACACCTCTTTTCTCATTCCAGCTCACTTGAATCTCAATACCCTATACAACGAACTCATTTGGACGCAGAAATGGTACGTTCCAAAATTCATCTCTTGAATATAGTTGTGAGAAACATAAACTCATAAAGTGTTTACAACGTCCGGGCAAGTTGAGGATTGTAGCCGTTGGATTAAATCACACAACTTGGATCCTTGCATTTACTAGATGTACACTCTGAATTGAGAATTTGTGAATCATCGTGATAAATGTAAAGACCGTTTTTTATCTTGATAACTCGCTTTTACATTCTCAAAGTGGCCGACGTGACAATTCTCAACATCTAAACTCTACTCAAACGATGAGTAAAATTTGTTGCCGTGTTTAAAAAAATGACAACTCGCCTATTCATGGAAGAGCCAAGTGGCAAGCACATGACGCTGGAAGACACAAATTTTGTTTATCAAAGTAAAAATATCGAGGAATAGATCAACAAGAGATTGGAAAGTGGGATGAAAATAGATAAGAAAAAACTTTTAGCTCGATTGCGACGGTAGATCCTGCTTTCCGAAAAATTTCAAGACTACTCGCTTCACAGATACGATCGATGCAATGCCTTCCAATCGACAAACACTGGCTCTTCTCGTGTTCGCAAACAGCCTCAGCATCCAACATCCGACCAAACTCAGAACGTCAGAAGCATGAAGATTGACGCGCCATTCCTGCCTGCAGGAAATCCTCGTGAATCGGACTCCGAGAACGTCGTGAGTCCAACCTGCGACGGGAACGATGTCAACGCCGAGGGGCCTTCTTGGTTCATGTCAAGAACATCCTCCTGCAATTTACGCCCGAAGGCACTGCTTCAGTTTCCGTCCGTCCGATCTCACATCTCGAAATTGTACCGAAAACATGACTGCCGGAAATGCCAGATCAGCATCGCGCATCCAAGTCACCTCCCGCACACGATCGAACCCGGACGAAACTCGCGGAGGTCAAATCACATGACCGTTCGCATGCACACTCCCGCGTCGGCGTTCAAATCGCCGCTCGGATGTCATTCGCGGAGCCTAGGGCCTAGCCCCATGTTACCCGTTGGCTCCCCTTTGTACGGCCTTCCGTCCTTTTCGTCGTTTCCCTGCGCTCCATTGTAGCTGGGTATAGCTAGTGTCACCCTAGACGACAAAATAAGTCCAGCTGGCCAATCGATCTCGACGAGGACGATTTCCCCCACCTCAGCCACACCGCGCGGGCTCCAGCTTCCGAGGGCGTGTCAGTGAAGTTGCAAAGTAAAGTTCAGAAAATCCAAACGCTAAGTTGTGTCTCTTTGTGTGGGTTAAAGCTCGTAAAGCCAAGTCCTGAGTCCAAAGCTGTGACAACTTTCAAGCTGCGCTGTCCGATTTTCTTCAGATGCGATCTCGAAGGATTGGAGGCACATTAATTAATCCATATTCTTCGTTCATCGGATTGCTTCGGATATCGTCGACATAAATCAGAGTTGTCTTTTCTCGTGACCTGTGCATATCCATTCACGTTCTGACTCCCTGCTGCAGGGGCCGTGCAGCCGGAAGGCTTGGAGGCAGAAGACCAGAAGGGAGAGAGATAAACGAGAGGGAAGGGAAAAACTTCTAAAGTAATAATATGTATATATACAAATATTATTTACATACTTGCAAACTCCTTAGGTCATCAAATTCAAAGGTCGGATTTTCATGATCCTAATGTCCGAGCTTTAGTCTTACGTCTTCTTCGTTTTAGCACTTTCTTCTTCTCTTCTTAATCGTGCTTGCCTCTATCCACGAGTTGCAAGTCGTCCACGAGAGGATTGCTCTTTTCCTCAAATTTGCTAATTGCTTGATAAATCTTGCTTGCACATCCACATCCCTCCTCCTTGCAGCATTTTTCCATCTTCCCTGTAATTTTCATTTGATGCTATCCAAATCTATGTTCATTGATATCTTTCAAGTAGAATATGCACATTTACCTGTTTACTACATTTCTTAACTGATTTTTGGAATAAAAGTGAAATTTGAGTGTATACATCAAAATTTATATCCGGGTTTATTTGCGAGCAACCCTTGCCATAGTTTTTGATATATTTTCTCATTCCCCATCCGTTAATTTGAGTGAACTCCACCTAAATCCAACAGCTTTTGTACATCATTATTAAAGAATCGATCCATCGCAACTAATTCTCCATGAAAAAAAGTTTGCCATCTATCTTATGGTAACACTTTTTCACTGAAAATCGAATGTGTCAACTATGTTAGAAAAAAATTTTCTTCCTTTCAAAAGCGTAGGAGTGCGCAAATTTACTTCATACTCTTACTTACATACCTTGACTGAAATTGCTCAGTTATGGTTTTGGAATACCCTTGAAACTCCTTCAATTTGGTTAAGTCATGTTAGTTAGTCGTTCTTCTTATAAGAATTAATTCCTCACATAGATCAAACAAGAAGACACTTAAAACTTTCCTTGAAGAATGCATTCCATCGAGCCATAGGGAGGTAATTACTTGATGATACTCCATCTTAACACAAATTATTTATCGGGATACATCAAGTTTTACTTTACCGGATGGAACTCCACTAACGGTACATGTCATCTATATTCTAGAATCAACCTACGGTGAAAACAATTCCGACTTTCCCGCACATGGCTCTTTACTATGCATCATTTCTTGAGTATGTGCATGACCAATTGCTTCCCGTGTACTTAAAAAAAAAACTCAAAAAACTTCCTCGTCTCCGCGAAGGCTACTTCTTACCCGGACAAAAATCCAAACCAACATCTCACCTGCCGACCATCAAAATGGAATATCTTTCCGATCCGGCTCAACCTTTGGCAGGCTTGACACTATTCTACAAAGGGAAGGAATGCATCGATCGAGAAGAGAGTTTGTTTATTCCACGAGTAATGATGTGTTTCCCGGTAATTTGATTGGGGATTTCGATTTATCAAAAGATCAAGTACACATTTTCAGAGTCTATAAACCCTCACCCTCTTATATTTATAGTAACAGGTTTTAAAACTTGGAATTCAGACGGTGTACCGTGGGGTCTCATCTTATAAAACAGAACTTGGTGGGTACCATAAGTAATTTGTGTTGCGATGTGCCATCAAATTATCTAGTTCGAGATAGGTAAAGTGAAATGGAGTCTCTCAATTGTAATCTTTACCATAATTCAGAAGAATGTCTGCGCGAAAAGAATTCGTCTCACTGAAGAGGAATGCCACGTGTATCAGCATCCAAACGGGTCCTGTCTCGGAACCATTACGTCGCCGACCACGGACGTCGACCGATGCTGTCCGACCGGACATGTCGAAACCTGTCGTGGTCTATTTCGGGGTGGAGGACGGAGCGGGCTGTCTATTTCAAGCCTCGATCGATCGAGCGAGCCCCAAGTTGAGGAATCGGACGAATGAGGCAGCGACAGGTGGATGGGAAGAGATGCTCCAACCTCGACGGGCGTCCGTCTGACGGATGCCGTCGTTTGCCAATTCTTTGGAAGCAGATGGATGGCAGTTACGTGGTTGGGAAAGTAGTCCGAGTACGTCGGGAAGGTGCTCTCGGTAGACAACAGGAGGCCGAGCTTTTAATGCTGCCAGTGCCTCCTCAGTACCCTCCAAGGGCCTTTCCAGTCGGAACCGATGAAAGTGGTACTCGGAATGAAGACTTCTCTGTTCGATAGGGGGCCAGAAGAGGAAAATTTTAGGAATAACATGTCAAGCTTTAGAGACAACTAAGGTCCAGAGAGCACCATAATGTAATATCTAAATATGTAGATTAGATTGTATTCAAGTCATGTTCGATGAATTTTTATTAATATTCATTAGTATCTTGTGTGTAATGTTGATGAATTTTTCTTAGGATGATAAACTTAAATGATCGAAATTAGATTATACATATAAAAAATTTAAGTGAAAAACAATTTTGAGCATTTTCTGTAAATGATATTTCGTAAATTTATATGATTTCAATGGTAATGATATAAAATATTTCCTAATAATCCGGAGATTTAACTACAAAAGTCATAAGAAAATTCTATATTTTTCATAAGCGCAGCTTACATTGAGAGTTGGAGTTTTAAGTTCAACCCTTCCAAATAGAGCATGACTAAGCGAGTCGGAAGGAAACAAATGCTGCTTGCGCTCTCAACATAGTTTCTAGTCCGCAAGCAATGGTTTCTTCTCCAAAATTGAATGGCCTTCAGCTTTGCCAAAACTCCTCTCAGCTTTGCATAGACAGCAGTTGAAAGGGTCCTCCCAACAAGCTAGCCGCACTCGGAGTGCCACTAAACACGGCACAAACCCAGCAATTACAATCAGCATGAGATTCACTGGATCAGGGAACTGCATGTATAGGCCAAGGGAGACGCATGGAACAGCACACTCTGGCTATACCATGCGAGAACTACAATTAAGGTCAAACAAATGCCTGAAGGAACCTCTTTCTATCAAGACTGTATCATCCTCAGATATTAGGCAGCAATCCTCTCCACCAGGTCTTCTTTGTCCCATACCTTCATTTAGTTGTAGGAAAATCTGTACATCATACAGGAAATCATTCATCCTTTGTGATTTTCAGTGATGTGTTTATTAATTTATATCCATCGATCACTCGGGATCGAGATTGAAATAGACGGAAGAAGAGGTTGACATAGAAGAGATTCCTTCTAAAATTATTTACTCTTGAAGTCCTTTTTGATGAGTGCAAGAGTGGATGGAACCGCCGACCTTCCTTCCGACTGATTTGCAATTCCCTCGCTCAGATGCTCATGCACTTCGAAGTTGTACTATAGCATAAGGTCACTGCTACTTTCGCATACGAGGTAATCGTCCAGCGGTGTTTTCCATCTGCTGAGTGCA